TTCTCCCACTCCCATTCAGCATTCCTGCTCCTTCCTTCCAGTGCCAAGTGTTGTAAGAAAAGCCCATTAGCATCCTGCCTGAATTGATTAATCAATATGTGGTGTATTAGATCATCTTCTCCCAAACTGCCTCTGGTACCACGTGCAAAACCCAGAGGCTACTATTGGGGTATTGATTTTGGGGGTTGCTTTGGAACTCTTAACAGTGTCATGCCAGACATCCATTAATCTCGCTGGGAACAGGTTCCTGGATGAGCTGCTGTTGAGTGTTCGTTGTATATCATGTCTGAGACCCCAGCTGTAGGTTGTGGTGCTCAGTGGGTTCACTTCTCTGTCAGGTCTGAGGGTCTCTGGACGTTCTGCTTGTTGGGTGGAGGGTTGTTGTTCCACAGGGCCCCTCAGTTCATGTAAATTATGCCAGGAGCCATCTCTGCCCCCTGTCCCTCGGCCCTGAGTGCTGTCACCCCCTCCCTGTGCTGCCCTGCTTGCTGAGGACCTGCCTGTGCCTTTGCTGAGAGAATCTGTGGGTGGAGAAGCTCCACCCTGTGCATCCCTCATCCTCTTCACAGCTTCACTCACATGGCAGTTTTCTGGCCACTTGGCTTTTGTTGTGGTGTCTTCTGTGCCTACTCTGAGTTCACCAAATTTAAAAAAGGAGACAAAACCCCAAACCAGGGGCTGCAGTGACTGAAACCCTCTGTGGTGGCTCATGGTGGATTCAGCTCTCAGACTGCAGGAGTGGCAGGAGTGCAGTTTTGGTCACAGAATCCCACCTGGGCTGGTGGAAGGTGTCTCTGGTGGAACAGGATGAGCTTTAAGGTTCCTCCCAACCCAAACCACCCCATGACTGTGTAAGCTGCTGTCCCTCAGGCTCAGCAGAGCCCTTCCTTCACCCCTTCCCTGCCGTGTCCAGGGCCACAGGGGTTCTGCTGGGACAGGTTTGTCACCCTGCTCGTGCAAATCCCCTCCAATCCTGCTGTCAGAGCTGCCAGCCCTGCTTGGGGGCCGTTCCTCAAGGCTGAAATCTCTGTGATGCCAGGCAGTCTGGGGCTCAGACCCAGCCCAGGAACGTTGAGGTTACAACTTCCTCCTTAATGGGTCGTTCATTTCCTTCTGAAAAAGGCTGGTTGATTGATTGATTGCTTTGCATCACCAGGGCTTTGTTAGTGCTCCCCTCTTCCTGCTGCTCCATTGATTGGGGGGTGTTTGGAAGAGTCAGGATTTTCAGTGGTGATGGTAGGGATCTGTCACAGGGTGAAATGTGCCTTTTTAGTTCAGCATTAATCGAACTATTTAATCTGCTCTGTCCTGAAAGCAGACTTGAGACTGAAAAAGCTGCTTTGTGGTGCCATCGGGCAGACTGAAGAGTTTGGTGCCAAGTGACGTTCAGGAATGTGGGAACTTGGCCTTGGGTTGGATGGTTTGGGCTCAGGTCTGTCCAGAGCAAGCACTTAATTGAGAAGGGTTATTTAGTCACTCCCAAAGGATTGAGATGACTTTCTGTGTGGTCCAGAGACAGCCTTCCCACAGTTTTAGAGAGACTTCAGCACAGGCTTTGCATTAAACAACCTACCTTGCAAATATCCATGTCTTCTCCTGTGATAAATTGAGGAATTAGGAGGGCAAGGAGAAAGCAAGTTGTCAAATCTCAGCCCGTTTTCTCCTGGCTAATCCACTGTTTGCACTTTCAGAGAGTTTCCTTTTAATTGGGGCCAGTGAAATCTTTCCAGCAAGACTTTACCTGGAGGGTGATTTATGCTTGAAGCGAAAAGGCTGAGTCATCAGTTGGGTGAAATGCTTTGATAATAAGCTCAGGAAAAGGCCTTCCTGCCTCAGCAGCACAAAAGCAGTGGAACAATTACTCCAAACAAGCATTTCTGGGAGCTGTGGCCTGTTTGTACTCAGAGTCAAGGAGCAACAGGTGATTTAGGAAAGGTGGTGATGGGGAAGAACCTTTTCTCCAGCAAGTGGAGTGCATTTACCTCTTGTAATTCAGGCCTTCAGCGTGGTCTGGGACTGCACTGGAACAGAGAAACTAAACTGTTTCCCTCGGTGTGGGAGGGCTCAGAGCCACAGTCCAGTGTTCTGAACAGCACTTCAGTCTGATCCAGTGCAGACAGAGCAGAGATCCCTCAAGGATGGGCTGAGCATCTTCTAGATAATGAAATTAGGGAAAAAAACCACCTCCCTGGAGCACCAGCTCCTCGTGGGCTGCAATGCTGCTCAAGTGCCACACGCCCTGGAGTGGCAAACCTGCTCTCTGCAGCAGGGATCAGGCTGGTCCCAGGCTGGTCCAGGGACAGCAGCTGTATCTCCCCACGGTGTGGACCAGCCCCTGCACTGGTTGATGCCCCATCCCCACCCTGGTGTGGTGGTGCTGACGCAGACCCTGCTCTGGGCTCTGTCACTCAGCACCTCGTGGTGCTCACCTGGAGCTTCTCTCCGGGGTTGGGGTGATGGGGGACACTGAGGGGCCACTTTGAGGGAGCCAGGGCTGAAATGAGTGGCAGCTGGTGATCAGACTGTCTCTTGGGACTGTTAAATTTATCCACCATTTCCCATAAACGTTTTTATATGCTCAGTGTTGGTTATGCTGTCAGCACAGCTCTCTGCACTCTGTAACCAGGGGCTGCTGGAGCTGCAGGATGCTGAGGGAGGACATGCCCAGGGGTGGATTCCAAGTTCTTGGCAAACTAAGGTGTGGAATCTGTGTATAAAAAGAACCGCAGAGGCTGAGTACTGGGGTGGGAGGAAATAATGCAGCTGCTGAGCAAGGGAAGCTGCGATGCCCTGGGCTCTGTGGCCAGATCTTCCTCCAGACCTTGTCTTCAAATCAAACAGCGGGATTTCACATCACCTTGTTTACATCTCCCTGTTTGTGAATGACAGTGATTCATCTCTTGCTAACATTGGCTGGCTGGGGGTGTAAAGCCTTTTCAAGAGGCAATAGTACAACTCTTTGTTTCCTTTTCTGAGCAGTAATTCTCAGCTTGGCTCGTGCAAGAACCTTATTGTCCATGGTGAAACAATCTCCTGTTTGCAAAGTGAGAAAAGCTTCAAAAGCTTTGTGCCTGACGACAAATTCTCCAACTGAAATAATTATTTTACTGTGCTTAGTAGAGGCATTAATTACAAAGCCTGTCAATGGAGAGGAGACGGCTGGT